CCCCAAAACCCCAAAACCCCAAAACCCCAAAACCCCTGAGGGGTAAACCAGATCGAAGTATGAATTTTAAATAAGAATGAGAGGAAATGTCTTGCAGGAGTTTTATGGAGTTTAGAGAAGTGAGTAAGGAGATTTTGGGATTTCAGTATTAGAGGGTTAGACTGAAAATGAAATTTTCTATTCAGATTATTGGGTAAAAAGTGTATTAATCTTCTTACTATCTCTATAGTTTATTTAATACTAGCCTTCCTGGAAGACTTTTACTCCTAATCTTTTTATCTTCACTCCAAAATCTGTATAATATCCTATATTTATAATTACCCTAACCAATCTTTCTGCTATGTTTCTCAACAATAAGCTAAACTTAAGTTTCAAAATACTAATTTAAGAAACATTATAAGTCAAAACCCTGGACAAATCACTATGTATCTAATCAATAAGACGTAAAAATCATCAAGCGTAAAAACAGCTTGCAATAAAATTCTAATCGGATTTGCTTATTTTTACCATTTCTTATAAATTCGAAAATTATGCTGAGAATTAGCTATTTCTCATTAGGCTCATTCTTACCACCTATCTTGTTTTAAAAATACCGATTTTCTCTTTAAAGGATATTCCTAAAATTATAAGAACAGTATTTTATAAGAAATTTTCCGTAGGAAAGCTCAAAGAGAACTTACACACAATTTCTTGACTAAGTGGTCCCTTCTTCTATCCAAGATTTAATTTTTAAGGACATCTTGGTCCTGTTAGTACACAAATCAATGAATCCAAAATTTTCAGGGAATTCTCAGGTAATTTGTTATGTGTGTACAAACCTTTTATGGAGCCATCCTCAATTCTATCGAGATTATAGAAAATTGATAATATGCAACTGAGGTTTATCAATTACTGAAAGCACTATATTTATAGTTCAGCAAAAGTTTACCACCCGGTATTAGAAATTATAATATTGATCATGAATAATTTTGGAAATATGTGTTGGGGTCTTGGTACTCTAGTTGGTAAAATCAGGTAATGTTCACTTTGAGACAATAGCTCAATTCATAATACCGAATTATTTAGAAAAGATATGGATTTATCAATATAAACATCTAATTTTACTAAAATTGTGCATATTATGCTCCAAATTAGATTAGTTGTTCTCTGAGGATAACTAGCCTCATGCCAATTTAACTTGATCAATGAATCATTGAACTTAATTAGCTATTTTCAAAGTTACTTAATTATTTGAAAATCTGACAAGTAGAGAGTAATTCAGATCTGAGTATACTTTTGGAAGATTATAGAGTAGCCTAAATCACTTTTAGACTTTAAATTCCGTACACAGATTGTCTTTCAGGTATCAATGCCGCCTTTAACTAGGATACATATGTGTACAAAATTTTGGAATATTTAATTTTGGAATTTTACGTTCATTATCTTTCAACATCAAAAACAAGAATTAACGATATACAAACTTCTAAATACTTCTAAGAATTGGGACTCTTACATATTGGGAAGAAAATGTTTGTTTATAAATATTATGGTATTAAGTTAATTAGGAGCCGAAATATCTTCCATTGTCACTTCCCTCTTTCAGATATAGGGAGAGTCAACAGAATCATCCTCAATTTTCTCACAAAAGATGTGGCGTTCAGAAGAGTATTTTCATGAGTTTCTGATCCTAATTGCTCTTTGAAGTAAGTCCTTAATATCACTCTGAAGACTCGGTTTTAGGTGTGAATTTTCTTTTCAAGAAACTTCTGAAATTTTAGAATAATTTGTACGGTCCATCCTGTCTTTGTAGCTGTGTACATATTTCTGAAGTTTCTGTACAGGTCAAGAAGAAGTTTTCATTAGTTTGCTCCCTTGAGGTTTCCTTTCAAACGGGTTATTAGACATATTCTTAACCAGCTGAATCGATATCTTAATCCTCGAAGGGACAACCTTTTCATCTAAGATTTCCTCATCCAAATTTTCATCAAACTGTTGGATAATACTCATATTTTAATAATTTATATCATCTCCAATCCGATCTTTATATAACGGGGTTTTGGGGTTTTGGGGTTTTGGGGTTTTGGGG